GAACCTCATACCAATTGGCATAATGTGTAATATCCACTACCCCTCTGAAGAAACCTGCACAGTGTCTCCAGTCAGACTGGAGCTGACCCCCTCCTGCGTAGCTCCTAATCATCCAAGAGGACTCTATTACAAGGGCCTGGCAGCTCATCTAACCCCACGGAGGGGAAGGGGGGCTGGCGGGGAGATTGGGACCTCTGCTCCTCTTTCTTTCCACATGGTTGAGCACCACACACAATACCGGAGCACTAACACACACACACACGCAGAGGTTGCCCGGGTGTGTTCAGCAGCGTCTGTGTGCTACACCAGATAGAGCACCTGACCTCATGTCTGTCTGCAGGAGAGAAACTGATAAAGAACACTGAGGTAAAAGTGGCTGCTGTGTTCACATACAGCACCACTGTACGTTATATTGTAATGCTGATGTCTCCATTTCAGGTCCTGTCTCTGGGGTTAACCCTCGAGGTGCAAGAGAGAGCTCCTGGTTGCAGGAGCTAATGGCGGTCCCACATCTCATGACAGAACAACCGTTTCTCTAATACAGTCCCGACTGCTGGTGCCTGGTCAAAAGTTCAGCCTGTGCATATGTAAAAAGGTGGCCTGGTGCCCGAGGCAGGATCCTGGGTAAAATAATCATGCTAAAACGTTAAGAAGCATGGGACTAGGCGAGAGCGCTGATGAAACCGGCCCCTGGGGGAACTCAGCTGTCTGATTGGACCAGAGGCGCCTCTTAGGCCTTTGCCCATAACACCTCCCTCCCCTCTTTCTATCCATTATGATGAGGTACTGGAGCCACTGCCCACACTGATCTCCATTCAGCTCACTACTGTCTGTGCCTATAGTTAAGGTATAGATTAGATGAGTATAGGCTGAGCACAGCTGCTAGGAGCCTGAGGGTACACTGATCTTGAGGGAGCAATCAGTCAGTCAACAAAATGTCACAGGGTCAGCGTTACAGCGCGACAAGACGGTGACAACTTCACAAAGGTTACAGCCCAACTAATAACTGCAACAGTCACTGAAATTCATTCTGTGCCGTTTTAATATGAGTTTTGATCCAAAGTGAACTGTCTAATAACTTTTACAGCATATACGTCAGAGACCCAACATTTTATTCTTAAATATCCTAGATCAAATAAATCAACTAATATCTGCATCAATCAAATGTTGAGCATTATCTCTGATAAGCGCTGTTTTTGCCTCTCTTGCTCTCCCTTAGTCTCGCTATCTAACACACACATATCCGGGGCACATTCACACCACTGCAGGCCAGATCATTCAACGCTGATAATCACAGTATAGGACACAGGGAAAACTCCCACTCTAAACACGCTGAATTAAAGAAACAGGAGTTACAGGCCTGGTCGCACAATCTCTGATAAGTAGATCAAGGCGCGGGGAGGGGAACATGATGTTAGTGAGAGATAGTTTGGCTGATTAAAATGTCATGGCTCTTTATAGATGCCTTTCTCAACTCAGCAAAAAAGAAATCAGCTCTGTACATCAATAGCAGAGTGGGCTGTGCTTCCTGCTAATAGAGAAGTTTCTTTCCCTTAAGTAGAATCCACAACACAAAGGATGCAAAATATGAGGAAGTCAAAATATATGTTGGTAATACGCGAGCAAAAGGCAGTGGCAAAAAGATCAAAGTGAAGGGTAAAAGTGAAGCGCTGATAAAATAAGAGAGCATGACGCACAATTAATGAGGGAGGAAAGCATGGACATGATTGGATGGACAAATGTGGAGCTTATGGCCTGACATGACATTTCCTCGCCTTTACTGCAACACTCAAATGAAAGATTTCGGACCACATGTAGCTCCAGGTGGTTCGGTAGTCTCCATATTGTTCATTCATGTGTGTGCGCTTGTCCATGTGTGTGTTTTTCCTCGTGTAGGGCAACTGTATATCACTCCACCTGTGCTCCTATAAATCAAACCTGTGTTTTAAATGAGAGGCTGGTTATTTGCGCAAGAACACACACGGGGGGCTTTGTGATTGTTTTTTGGAATCGACATTCTGCTTATGTTTGCATCCCAGAACAATCTCCATGGATCCCGCAAGCGTACGCAAGCAATTAAAGCGATACCATCTTCATATCCCTGCAACCAATAACTGAAATAATATCACTGTTTTATTAAGCCCTTAATGTGGGGGCAGAAGGAGTGAGGAGTGGGATTTTTAAAGAGGATACACTTTCAGGGGCCTTATCAAGCCCAGATTTAAATAAGAGCAAATGCTCAGCTTAAGGGTGTGCCTCTGTGTGTGTGTGTCTGTGTGTCTGTGTGTGGCCTTTATCAGACATGAGTTTAGGCTAATCGCTGTGTCAGCACGCCAGAATTTAATTACTAGCTCTACCTTTGTCCTTTAATATTTACTAACATCCACACTACGTTTAATTAACCACGTGTAGAAAAGCCATAGCCCCGTTCTGGAGGAGAAACCGCTCTGCTAATTGCATCTGTGCGCTTGCATCCAAAATGTTACACACCCCTCTCTTACACACACGAGGAACACCACAGTGTCATACACTCTAGGGGTACGCTTCCAAATTATCCGGTTATAAAAGCATGTTAAACTGATTTTGGTCCAGCGAAAATGGACTCAGACCAGGTTTATAGATTGTAACAAGACAGCAAATGATGAAAGAGACACATGTTAGAGAAGGTAAAAGGGGAGTGGAGTGTTTAGTGAAAAGTCAAATTGAGGAAATGTTCAGCGTGGCATTTTGCGAAAGGTGCTGAAGAGTAGTTCCTCTCATCTCTCATGCCATGTCAGAAGGAGGAGAGACAAATGACGGCCCGGGGCCTTGTGTCTGTCAGACATGATGGATCAGAATAACGCTTCACTAAAACTCCAACACGCTGCCTTTCAACACATCACATTTTCCCTTCAGTGCCAACACTAAATTGATAAAGTACGAAGACCAGCTAATGGAAAGATGTAATAGTCAAAGTAAAGCATATATTAGGAGGCCATGGAGCCTAAAGGGTAGAGAGCTGCTATCAATTGAAAAGTCTTACAGAGCAGAGGACACAATATAGACGAAGATAAATCATGCTGTTGTATTTTATCGTTCATATCCAAGGTGTGTGAGGACGTTAACCTCCGGCACCTTACATCACCTTATAAGCACACACATGTGCTATGAACACTCTTATGCAGTCATGTGTTGTACACCCACACACTCACAAGAGTTGCTGTACTATAGGGGTTATTGCCTTGAGAGGAAACCTGAGCTGTTTAATTTTGTGATGTTATTTAGATGCTATTGACAGGAAATAGTTACTGTACAATAGATGTGTTACAACTCATTCCAATGCAAAAACTGTATGAGAAAATTGTTGTATGGCATGAAAATGTGTTATTAATTTTCAAGAAGACCAATAACATATCATCACCCAGGTTCAGATCAGACAGACTGTTGATCTTAAAGGTCCCATGACATGGCCATTTCTACTGATCATAATTCCATTGTTGAGGTCTACTAGAATAGATTTACATTGTTCAATATTCCAAAATCACATTGGTTTCTCATACAGCATCTCTGTATAGTATGTGTATTCACTCTCTGTCCAACACGCCTTGTTGTCAAAATAAGATGTGGTGTAGGTTAAATAAGTATAGAAGTGGTGTTACTTCAGTTCAAAAGTTACAAGTTGAAAAAATCAATTATGGTTTCACACCGTACCCAAACAGCAGACTCCTGGGTAAAAGCATTGTGTTTTTGAAACCACCCATCGAGCAAGACCCACTCACAATGTTCAGTGCATTACTTTTGTAAGGTAAACATAGCTATGAGAAGTCCCCATCCCTTCCTCTGAACACAAAGAGAGACAAACTAGAAAGCCAGATACTCCAACGCACTGAGAGCATAGGCCAAAAAAAGGGAGGCCTACCTACAAAGATGTATAGAGGCCAATTTCAAATCAGAGTCCTTAAAAATGAAGGCACAGAACTTGTATGTATTTGATACTTGAAACTTTATTCAGATGTATCTTCTGCGGGACCTTTAGCTCCTTCCCCACCACAGAATTGTATTGTGTTTACCAAGCCCCTTATCATGGTACAAGTTTACCAAAGGAAGACCCTATCTGTTAACCCAATAACACAGCTCCCAGGGTCACAGGGACACGCTAACTCCCACCACCATCACACTCAAGTGTCAATTCTCCAAGGGAATCTTGTTTTATTTTTCTACATTAAACTTGTAAACAGATAAAACACTGCAGGTCTCTCTGGCACAGCACCTGGAGTCCTTTGTACCCCTCAGCCTGTGAGGACATAACGTCTTTACTGTAACTCTGCTCTCAGACAGGTCTGTGAAATATAAAGTTGAGTAAGCCTGCTAATATGACTTAAAACTTCAGATAATGCATCTGAAAATATCTGGTAATAGGTTCTCCTGATGGGAATGGGGTAGATGGTAAAAACATATTTGACAGAGATAATTATCTTAGAACTCTGGAGTACATGACTGCAAAGGAGTAGAGACTTGAGTTTGTGCAGTGCATTTACTGTAACCTAATAGTCGCGCTACACAGGATCTGGAATATCGCCTACCCTTGTGAGAGGATAGGGGAACCGCCTCTCAGAGTTAAATAAACAGTGACAGGAGGAAGAGGAAAACAAACCACAGACTATCTCTCTATCTGTGAAACCCAGGCTCTCTCCCTGAGCCCTCAGCACTCAGCAGATCAACCCCTCTCCATCCCTTTCCTCTCCTCTCTCCCTGGAACGTGCCAAGACAAATATATACGCTGAGTAAGGGACACGAGAACAAAAATATAGTGTGGTAAATTCACCGGCTTTCTTTCCATGTAGGAAATGAGAGCAGGTTACAGATCAACTCTTCAAGTTACCAAATGTAAACCAATCCAATCTGGTAGTTACCAACATCTGTAGGTTATAAAAGGTTTTCAGTTGGCGGCCATTGGTCAGGTTACAGTTTTAGTAGTCACAAGGTTATAACACTTCTTTTAAATTGGTTTTGTGTCCTACCATAGACTTGGTGAAGGGTCTAACCAGAGAGAAGATAAAGGTCATCAGCCACCAGCTTCTGTGGATGGAGGTGTACATCATGTTCCCAGGATGCACCGCGTTGGATGTGACACCGTGAGGGGAGAGGCGGCGGTGGAGCTCGTTGCTGAAGAGGATGTTGCAGAGTTTGGAGCGATTGTAAGCCAGCATGGACCAGTAGTCTTTCTTTTGGGGCGACAGCAGGGCCAGGTCCACTTTAGCACAGGAGTCTATCAGGTCTGTGAACCTGAAACAGAGTCCAGATCAAGAGGAGTTAGAGTGTGTGTGTGTGTGTGTGAGTGTGAGTGTGAGTGTGAGTGTGAGTGTGAGTGTGAGTGTGAGTGTGTGTGTGTTTTCTCCCGCCAGATGTGTGGTGCTGGCTGCATACAAATCAAAGACGTGACATGATGTTCTTTAATTGCCTGCGACTGAGCTGTTAAACTCCAGATGTTTGACAAGGCCTCTTAAACATTACACTACTCGTTGTGTTATTATGCAGTCACGCAATAACATCACAATACACAAGAACAAGAACCACACTCCCTGTGTGTCGTGCGAGTTTGAGTATGTGTGGGAGAGAGAGACATGGGCTCCAAACCGGCGGAACACATCCCACATACAGTATTAATGCAGTCATTAGAAAACAACCAATCAAAATGTCACCTGGTTTCCTTGTTGTGATTTTACAAGCTCGCTGCCTCTTGTTTACTGTCGCCTTCCGCAACATCCTTGCTTGGCTAAATTACAACATCTGCAGGCTTTTCATTTCATGTGCCGCAACTTCATAACTACTTTAGCAAGTAGAGGTTGATAAATCAATTGCTTTAGCATCTAATGCAGTTTCCCCCCCAAAATTGTTCACGCGTTATGCTGAAGTTGTGCCTGGTTAAAACTAAATGTTGTTTTACTACCAGAATGAGTTTTAAGTTTCGGGGGAACCAACCTTTGGATGACTTCATGGGCTACTGACATTTTTCACGTCAACATCCTTTCAATTTCAGCTTGGCCTACTGTTTTCAGACAACTACAATCTTAGGAAATGCATTTCCTTCTTTAATCAGGGTACTCTATTATTTAAATCTGAACATCTCAGTGGTCCCTTCATGTAAGTTTTATTATTAGAAAAAGAGAACAAGGGGTCCAAACTCAAAAGCATGTGTTTTTCTTTTTGTTGAATGTCAGATAACTTGTTTTTTATTTGAATTTCATAATAGCTTATAGTCATGGTTAAAGGTCCAACGTGTGTGACACCATAGATTTAGACATAATTTCCAACGTACTTTGATCTTAATAGTTGGCTTTGATGTTGCCTCTTTATTACTATAACACCTCAAATGCGGGAGATATAAATTCTCGCTGCAATCCATGAACTACTCGGCCTGATAATTCACATAAAAGAGCATAATGAAATATAGATTATATAGATTTCGGTTAACTAAAATAAATATTCTGTACATAAAAGTACAGAGCCAAAGCTGCAGCTTAGATCTCTCAGAGGTAATTTCATTAAGGATAACATCTCCCCTTGTTTGACCAGATCTGATGCAGTAAACCTGTGTTGGGCCAATTCCACAGTAAGCCCCTGTGGTGGAAACTGATAAAGCGTCCAGCCATTACCCGTCCGTCCATCTCTTCCACCCCTGTCCCTTATAGGTCAATGCTTTACCAGTGGACAAGGGGCTTAGGGAATACAATATGCTGCCAGGTCAGGGGTCACACACTGCGTGTGAGGGGAGGCTAAGTGAATAAACGGGAAATCAGCGGAAACGGAAAGTAACACAAACAAAAAAGGGTGCGACTTCAAGAGATGTAATATAGGTCTGGAATGAGGTGCACAGAATGGAAGATGTAATATAAGATATTGTCTATTTTCGCTTCTTCTTCTCCTCCCTGTAGTCTGTCAGTGTGTAACTGACTCTCTCTGGTCCTGACTAAGCCCTCTTTGAAGGGGTTAAAGCCACTGCTGCGTGTAGAGGAGAGAAGGAAAGGTGAGTATATGTGTTGGGGAGGCAGAGAAGGAGAGAGAGGAAGCTGTAGGACGAAAAAGTGAAGAGAATAACTGATCATTCTTGGCCTTACAGCAATATATAATAAATAGTAGACACCGTTTCAATAGCAGTCTGCAAACACTTGTATGACCTCACTGTTCTTACTGTGTAAGAAAAGTCTTGCATCAATCAAACGCTGTCAATACTCCCTTCATGACGCACTTTCTTTCGATAAGCTTTTGCTACTCTGTCTTTCTGTTCCTTTCCTATAGCATGTAATAGCAGTGTGACCCAAAGTGAATCTGAGTGTCAAACCATCTCCTCCGCTGCTCCTGTCCTCTCATGCATGGCAGTCTGTATAACATAACTCATGCGAGGGCCCCAGTAATAGTGCTGCTGTTTGATTTGCTAGAATAACTCTGCGTATGTTCTCCTTGTCTCAGGTCACTCTGCCGAGCTCCGATCAATCACTCTGCTTGGTCGTCTGACTGACTGAAGACTGGATCAATGTCGCACACACACACACTCACTGACTCTGAAACACATGGCTCAGGGCTCACAGCTCACTGCAAGACATCATGCCTGTCTACTGAATGACAGAAAAACCAGAAACCTATAAAGTGAATGTACAAAAAGAGAGACTTGAAAAACGATAGTCGGCCGACGGAAGGAAAAGCAGGGAGAAAGGGGCTGAGTCAGGGGGTCAGAGAGAAAGCAGCAGATACTTGATCAAAGTTAATTTTAGCTGATAAATCCATCCATCATGTTGATGATACGTTTAATTCATAGCGACAGCGTGTGGAAGGAAATGAGTTTTCAGTGAGTGAGGCTGTCATGTTTGACAATATGCATTAGGTCTGAGCTACCAGTTTGTAGTGAAAAACTGCAGCTATGACTGCATGACTGCAGATGAAAAGTTGGTGACTTTAATATGGCTTAACTGTGAACGTTGGGAATTCAGGAAAAACCACAGTGTGGTGCCGCGTGCGTTGAACAAAATTCCTTAACTTTTCAGCCAGGTGGTTTCATTTTACAATATGGAACCTGTTATCATATAATTTACTCTGTGAAAAAGCACAATGTTTACCTTGTAGCTAGATAGGACACATTTTTTGGAGCGTTAAGTAGGTAAAATAGTTTCTAACATTTTTAAACAAAAATGTGTTAATCGTCAAGGTAGTGTGTAAGTAAATTGTATTTATGTTGGCAATAATCAGAATTTACACAATTGCTTCAGAAGCATGTCATTGTGCAAGAGTCCCTCAAAGGAGTGGTTGTTCAGTTAATGCAGTGGTTCTCAAACTTTTTCTGTCAGGCCCCCCCCTTTGGAGAGAAAAAAAAGTCGGGTCCCCCCAACACAAATAGTCACGTAATGGGCCAAGTTAACATTTATTAAAATACATCAATATGAACGTGAGCATTCCTTTGCTAGAACAGTGATAATAAAACAATGCCCAATAAGTCTGTGTGGTCAAAAAAAAAAATACATAATACAACTGTGCAATCCCTTTGCTAGAACAATAAGTTATAATACTTTGCCACTTTGCAATCTGTGCAAAAAAATGAAAAGAAAGAAAATGCTGATATTTGGCAAAAAAGTATGTATTATCATTAGTGGCTGCAATGAGCCTGTTTTGCACTGCACATTTCTTCAAAACGGGGTTGCAGGCTCAGTGGCGGCGCCAAAGATTTATTTTGGGGGTGCTGTGGGGTAGCTTGACGTTTCATAGAGGGTGCTCAAACATTTAGGGTTTCCCTTTAATGTACCGGGCGCTACAGTGGAATTTTCTACTGCAACACTCCCCACGCAAATACACAGTGTACCCGTGACAGTTACAATGAAGGCTCGATAATCAGCTCACGGCATATAGGTGTAAGCAGGGGTAAAGTGCTATTTTTATAAATGGGGAGTGGACCTAACATACAGTAGGGGGGTCCGGGGGCATGCTCCCCCGGGAAGATATATTTTTTTAAATATTGAAGTTAAAAGCATCAATCTGAATCTGGTGCACTTTGAGAGCAAAATGAAGAGATCTATGGATACATCTCTCAACACCCATATGAAACAGAACTGTAAACAGATTTACTATTTCTTTATGGATATTTTACAAATCACTTTTTTTATAACTATAATGATCATATAAACGTGTGCCTCGTAAATAATTGTTTACATTAATCGTGACCAAAACGTTTGAGACCCGGCCACCAGCTCGCTAGCACCAGAAGCTAACAACAACGATCTCCGGTACCGGTGCGCTCTCTCTCTCTCGCGCACGCACACAAAATGGCTCGTTCCACACACACACAGAGCCGAGCTTGAATGAAACACAGAGACCCAGACGTACTTGTACTGTACTGTATCATATTATTTTCGAATCAATAATTTTTCAAATTATGATTTCTTTTTTTTTTTCTTTTTCAAAACCATTTTTCCTCCTGGTCTCTCGCCTGTCATGCCTCTGCTCCCCCCAGGGGGGGCGCGCCCCCCACTTTGAGAAACACTGCATTAATGTCTGTCTATGGTTTCCAGTAGATCATTATACCTCCAAACCCAGAGACATAAATAAGGCAAGCTACTTTGGGAAGGGAAAAACGAGATTTACTCAAAACTTAAGGAGTCATTTGAGGTCATTTAAGGTCATTTTGAGGCAATAAAATACAATGTGTAACACGGATTAGGAAAAAAAATTATTTTCAAACATGTTGCATAAAAGCAGCTCATGAGCGCATAAGTTAAAGGTACCCTGTATAATTAGTTCTACCTCTAGTAGCTCTTTTGAGAAGTTATTTAATGGAGAGCAGGTGTGTGTGTGTCTCATACAAATGCACACTTTACCTGTGGGACTCAGAAGATACCACCACAACACGAGCGGGGGCAGAGCGACGCAGCACTTCCTGTAGGCACTGGACGAGCAGGAAGTGGCCTAGATGGCAGCTCTGGAAGGTGGACTCCAGGCCGTCCTCCGTGAGGCTCCAGGGCTGAGTGCACACGCCTGCATTACACACCAGAATGTGAAGGGGCCTAGGGAGGGAAGAAAGCAGAAGGTAAAACATATTTTATTGTTTATTGATCATAGGTGAAAACAAAAAAGACACAGCAGCATAAAAGGGGGATTTCCATACCATTTTAGGTCAAAGAAAAGGTAAGGAGGGACAGGGATAAGAATAAAAAAGAAAAAATGAAATAGTAAGAAGTCAAGGCAGAGAAAGGAAACGGGGTGTCTTGTTCCAGTGTGGTAGACTTAAGAGGTCTACAGAGACAGAGCATCAGTAATGCTGATATGATACAGAGGTTTCCAGTGAAACTCCCCATGGCCCGACAGGTACTGTAGATACTGAATACAGCTGGCTGCAGTCCAACAGCAACAACACATTGAGAAGCAATCTCAAACCGTTTCAACACACGAGGCTGGTGAAAGTAATGGATGTTGATACCGGCTCTGTGTAAGTACTCTGAGTAACAAAACCCACCAACACATCGACTCAAAAAGGCTGAGCAGAAGAGAGCAGATTAAAGGAAATACAAGTCACGATGTAAAAAACCACTCACTTATTTCAGGGACCAATAAAAGAAAGCATGTGCTTTAGAACAGCACGCAACACATTTCCATTCTTGCAGACATCGTGTGGGCGAGTGAGAAACACTCCCTGCTCGCGTGCCAGAGAATGGAGATTGCTGGATTGGTCAGGGCAGTGAGAGATCCTTGTCGGTGACAGCGTCGCTCCAGCGAGCTCGAAACCACAGTAACACAGCCGAACAATCCAAACACACCCCACCAATTTTTAATTTCTTCCATTAGAATTAATTATGAGGCCGAAGGCAATTTGTGTACCCTGTGTTTAAGACTGCCTACTGGATTAATTAAAAACTGGATGCTGGAAAATTAATGTGTGAATTGTTATGCCTTGCTATAATGAGCCATCCCATGCTATTACATAGGAGTGTACTGTACGATCACCTTCAGGCCTTCGAACACACAAGGTTCATTAAAGAGCACAAACCTAGTCTCAAGTCAACTTGAAGAATGCCGACCTCAGCAAATTATCAACAGAGCACAAAGCAGCAGCAAGGTTTTCACATTTCCTCCCAAAAAAACAAAAGAGGAAAGGATGTTTAACTTAACTTAGTAGACAATACGTGTAAATAAATTACCTTTATGACCTGCGCTTATACCTGATAAAACAAGATAGACGAGTAATACAGTTAGCTGTGATGTGAAGTTCTGCTCTGAAAGAAAAAACAAAACAAGTTGGTTGTTTTTGGCCCAGTGTTCCCCTGTCTAATAGAGTGTGAAGTACAGTAACATTGTGCTATACAAAGTCAAACTCTTGGCTCAATGTGCTGGCTCAAAGCTGCACAATAACACCACGCCTGAACTTTTGACCTAACTTTTTAACCTTTTCACTGAAGCTGTTATTTTAAAATGGATCAATATGTCAGAAACACCTCTTAAGATTTAAATCCGATTTGTGTCCTTTTTTTTTGTGTGACATTACCCTAATAAAAAAAAATCAGTATGTCACACAAAGGGTATCATACATTTGTGATCAAAAACTCTAATAACCAACTTTTCTCTGGCCAGTGAAGCGATTTCCCCCACGCAGCTCAGATGGGCCTCAAGTGAGTCTGCTGGTATTGTAAAAGGCCTGTTAATTCAACTGCCCACCAGTTAGTCCCTCTCTCATAAGCGCAGGTCTAATGAATGTCTTTAATAGGCCTATTGCCGCGCAACACAGTCCCTCTCTCCACATTAAGACCTCACACAACACTGTGTGCACTGTGCAATCTCAGCGCTGGTCAAACGAGGGTGTTAACTACCAAACAGGGAGACATCAGTTTATATATTTACTTTAAATAACCCCCCTGGGTATGACCCCTGACCTCTGTGATAATGTGGGCCAGCAGGAAGAGATTGCCTGTGTGAGCTGGGCTCAGACTGCTGGTCATTAACACTGCACTTATTGGCAACAGGAAAACTGGCCCAGGCAACAAACATACGGACATGCGTACACCACTCATCCTGATCCATATTCACACTCACACCAGAAGTGTATACCTGTGAAATGTAAAGAGACATACACATATTCGACAGCTTTTTGGTCACTACAATGCAGAGAGTGCTAGACTGATGTGAAGTGGCTTGCATGTGTTTATAAAGACCACCTATTACACATAATATGTTTGAAATTAGTACAGGATAAATGCAGTTTAAAAAATCACAGGTGAAAACAAATTGCATGTGTTAATTACGGACCGTTCAGTAGAAATTGTATTAGGGGCATTCTGTCAACGCTGTCCTCCATCAATTACATCCCAATGAAATTGCACTGCATTCAACAATATCAATATCCAGGTAATTTCATTTCAAAGGACAGGCAATTAAAACAGAATCGGGGTCAATGGAACACAAAGCAGCGTGAAAGCCACTGACTAAAGCACTTAAAAGCAAGGGAGTGAGAAAGGAGAGAAGGAAAAGAAAAAGACTCTGATTACATTTCACATGTCATTGACACGCTGCAGGAGCATTATTGTGTGGGTGTTTTAGTGTGTTTGTCTCTCTGTGTTTACAAAACTGTATGTATGTGCGTCTGCTCGCAGAATTGTCTGAGTGTGTGTCTGTGCATGTATGCACATATACATGCATGTTGTGTGTGCACGCTCCTGTGTGTGTTATGCCTGAAGACATACGTGCAGTAATAGAGTGGTGGTAGACTCAGACAGCTGCCCAGTGCCATTCACAGCTCAGAGCTCCCAGCCTCCACTCTGCTCTGTTCGCCTTCTGATGAGAATTAATGTACTCTGACGTCCCCTGGGACTCCCCCACTCCCCCCCAACAGCACAGCTAATGAAGAAATACAACCTTGCCAAAATACTGAGGTAGAGAGAGAGAGCGACACAGACAGAGAGAGACGGAGAGACAACATGTGTAAGAGAGAGGCAGATAAACAAATTACAAAAAGGGATATGCAAAAAACTGAACAAGGAGAGGGGTTTCTGAAGGAAGTAGACATAAAAGGAGGTTAATGTACTGCAGTGTGGATGGGATGGATACATGTACGTTATTGGAGGGGACAATAGGACACAGGGTGAGGGAAGCCACGGTAAGGTTTGGCTGTGACCCAAGACACGTGTCCTGGATGGCCATACCCTGCCCCAGGGCTGCTACGGGCAATGACTGCCCTGCCTCTCCCCAAGGGGCTCCCCTGACACTAACACCCACACACACACACACACACACACACACACACACACACACACACACAATCCCCTGCATACACACCTGCGGGTGGATGAGCAGTATGGATGACAGAATACATGACCCCAAAATAGCAACTGTGCGACCGAGCACGGGACGCAAGACACATGCGGTAAAAGCTGACCAACACAAAATAAGAGTCATCAAGTCTGGTCGTCTGTTTCGACCAATGTCAAGCAAACGGACATAAATAGACACATTTACTCCTGGGGCCTTGTCCATATGGTGTCCATCAGTAACAGTTTGGACGTCCTTTAAGTATGGTGTATGTGGGAAGTAACGGTGGGACATTAAGTGAATGAGAGACTCTGTTAAGTCCTCACTATTTTTACTTATTTGTTTCTTTATTCCTATGTTTTTCTTTCCTTTGTCTAAGTAGAATGAAATCAGTTTTAAAGTTTAAAGGGTACTGAAGGCTACTGAAAGTGAGCTATGAATGACAGAAAGACAATGTGATGGTGCTGCTAGACCTTTTTTGGATCCGTTTTTTAGATCCAAACGTTTTTTTTAAACGTGTGAGCTTCAATTTAAAAACAGCTACCTTGGAGTTTGGAGGGAAGCTGTAATCCTTCCTTTAGCCCGAACACACAACTGTAACATTGCATAGAGCAATTTTTAATCTTTAGAGCAGATTCATAAATTAAAGAAGTTATTGTGTTCTACAAGATTGAGCAATCATAGAAAGGAGATTGCAAGATAAGGTCAGATAGAATATACTTTTTACTCCTCTTTCCCAAATGTATTAAAATATCAGAGAACAAATATACTATGGCGAATACTCACAGTTTCTTGGCCTTGTAAGAATCAGCAAACTCCCTGACACTGCGGAGCGAGGCCAGGTCGCACATCATGGCTTCCACCCTTGCTTTGTGCTGTAGAGACAGGAAACACAAAGATAAGATTTAAAAAAAAACAGCAGCATCAAAAATCAACATTGTCATAACCATTATCTCAAGGTTGTTTTACAAAATCAAACTGTCGGCATCATTTGTCTTCATAACCAACATTTGGCAAAAAAAGGAACAGACCAACAAACACAATTCCAGGTTAAAGTGATAAAAAGGTGTTTTCTCCTCTTGAGATCTCTTCCTTATTTTCATTATTAAAAGTTTTTTTAGGGAAGACTTTTATAATCTCAAACAAGGCTTTAAGGATAAAGGATGCTGTGTACTGATATAAAGCCATTTCCGGACAATTTGCTGAATTGTCATCTCTAATTTTGGGCTAGATAAATAAAATTGACTTGACAACTTTCTTTCAGCCTAGTAAAAAAAAGTGTGTAAGAATGCTGACACGTGGTCGCAATCCTGTACGTTCTCTGCACAATTGTGTGTGCGTGTGCGTGTGCGTGTGCGTGTGCGTGTGTGTGTGTGTGGCACATCTTTGCACACCATATGTTAGGAGACAGGGTGAGGATAGGAGAGGAGAAAAGAAAGATAAATGACTTAAGTGAATGCATAGCTGCATTTACACACTGAGGAAGACGGACTAAATATTCATCATGCTCTCCATCCCACTGTAGCGTCTCTGCTGCGGGGCCAAGGCCTCAAGGAGCATATCTTTTAAATAAGAGTGTACGGCCTTTTTTTGTTTTGGATAAAGCATGTGAACTTAGACTTTCTCCCCCTTCTCTACATCTTAATCAGTGCAGGCCCTCTCAACAGACAAACCTGGTTCAATCTCCCTACAACATATGAGCTCACGTGGGATGTGATGTGCAGGTGCGTGCAGCGTGAACCGAAGTGGAGCGTGTTCCGTTTAAAATAACGGTCCATTAGACTCATCCCTCATGCAGGAGAGGGGAAAGGATTGAGATATAGCTCCCAGGACTCCCAGCTGGGCTCTGGGTTCAGCAGCACCAGGTATTCCTGATGCTGCCTCTCCCCTTCGTCCTGCCCATAGTCCCTGAGGAACGCAGTCAGCTCACATTACCCCCGGAACAGCGTTCAGCGTTACGCTCTCCATCCGCCGCCACCACCACGGCTGCTGCTGCTGCGCCCCTATCAGCCTCCACCCTATCAGCCTCCCCCCGATCAGATCTCCAGTCTGTGTGCGTCATATGTGAATGTCTCTCCTCTGCCTGTCTGTCTCCGCAGAGTTAAGCGTACATGACACTCACAGCAAGGACGCTCCATGGAGCAGTGAGCACAAAGAAAACAAGAAAGGGTTAAGAGCGCCTTCTGATGGAAATGTGATTCTTCAGGCATTTTACAGACACCTTAACTGCTCCAGGGCGTATTTATTCATGCATACACAGACACATGCGCACACACACACACACACACACAACAAATGCAGTGTTGTGACTCAAGGGTAAAACCACGCTATCACACCATTATCTATGCCTGAATTATTCTCTTGATGCTACTCTATACCATTATATGGATGCTATTACAAAGCATTAAAGGGCTGATTATGGCTATTATAGATATGATTATAGGGTACCTGCTTATATGATCTGCACACAGCAGTAATCACAGGTGAGAGGAGACAACTGTCTCATTTAATGACTTGTATGTGCAGCACTCACACTCCCACTTTTACACAGTACACATACACAGAAATGCAGGGAAAGTGAACGGTGTGTAGGCTGTGAAAGTAATCTTTTTCCACCAAGTATTCAAACACGTGTAGGAGCAAGACGTACTATATAATTAGAAAACTTTATGTGTAGAAAAAAAGTTGTTCTCATGAAATGGATAATTGAGTTTTACAGAAAGAAATACTACTCATTACTTCGAAACAAGGTCAGAGCAGGCAGCAGTGAGGTAATTAAGAGGTCAGTGTAAGGCCTCCTCAACAGGGAAGCCCTCCATGAGTGTATGACCAGCAGAGAAGATGAGAGCAGGTGTCAGCTTGACGAACACATATCCCCTTCTATAGAGACAGGGGGGAAAAGGGAAGAAGGGATGGAGTAATGGGAGACCAGAGGGAGGATAGAGGGGGGTTGAAGGGGGGCCACTGGAGCAAATCCAGCAGGGAGAAGGTGAGCAGCCTGCCCGTCTACCCTCCCCCTGCAGATTGAAGTCTTGCGAAGAAAATAAAGTTTATTGCCTGGAAAGAGGGGGGAAAAAGCATGTAAAAAGCATTAAAGCGATGGAGGTGAACAATTAGACAGATGGCCAGGTTTTGGAAGGAGAAGAGGAAAAAAAGGGTAGAAAAAGAGAGGAAGAACGCACGGACGCAATCGTTCAGGGTTTTTATGAGGACCCTGACAACTCCTGGTCTCTTCAAGGGCGAAGGAAAAGTGAGAGGCAGCGAAGCCTCTCTGGTTAACTCTGGAGTAATCGCTGAGTGTGCAACAGCACAGAGCCCGGCTCGGGGTGACAGAGCTTACTGCCCCCAGCTACACACAACCTATCGCTCCATCTGAACGCAAAAGGCTAATTATGAATGAAACACACGCGTACAGTAAATAGGCTTTACGGCTTGAAAACTAAAAACTAAGGCGACTGTGTGTCCATCTTCATAACCGGGCACCCACAAAAAGAGCATTGTGTACAGGACAGAAAGTGGCAAGGTCACCATGATTGTAGCATGGCCATTAGATCTCTCCGCTCCTGCCGCTGCCTTCCACCCGCTCAACCCAAGAGAACAGCTGTCTGTAACATGACAATGACCTTTGTGACTTTCATCAGGAGGAGGGGAAGAAGGAAGGAGGAAACAAGCGGCAAGGGTGGAGAGGAAAGAGTTGTGTGAGAGGCAGAAGTTGGCCTCTGCAGAGGTCCCCCTCGGCTCTCCTGGTGTTTTCCACGTGTGTTGGGGGATGACATGTGGTCACTTCAGCTGTGGAGACAGAGTGGATGGACGGAGAGGGAAGATCCCTAATACAATTAGAACTGGGGCCATCCAATCCAATAAAATGAAGAGGTATTAGAGCTGGGGAGCCCCATCCTGTTCAATAAGACACTGGACCACTCTACTAACTCTTAAAACACACACATGTAGGCGTACTCACACACGCACACACAGGTACACACACTTCGCTGACCCCTTTAATAGCATAGCAGCCACCCCTAATGGACGCAGGCAAGTGGAACCGCCAAATAATACACTGTCTTAATGCACTAGGCTCAATCTCATCCCCCTCTCCCCATATCCTTCTCTGCCTTCCCTCTCCCACTTTAACCCCTGTTTCCATCTTCAGTCACCTCGTGCTGCCCCTTCCCCACCTCAGCTCCCCTTATAGATCACCAATGCAGGGACAACACTTAAGAAATCAAAAGTACCCCCATATATACAAAACACTTAGCCTGCAGCCAGCCCAGGTTAACTCCTCAGGCATGGAGAAGGATGGTCAAAGAGAAGGGGAAGACAGAAGAGTGTACTACTTCTATAGGTTGATATGGTTGCTATTGCTCCCTACAAATACCTGATATCAATATGAGGCGTCAGCAATATTACATGGCTGCATTTAAAGCAGCAGGTGCGGAGGTAAGGTGTTGTAATGGCGGTGAAAGTGAATGAGCAGGAAAGACGCCATGTGAAAAGGGCACCTTATAAAAGCAATTAGAGAAATGACTTTGAGCCCCTCTTCTTGCTCTGTAGATTAGAACAGGCCTCGGAGGGAGGAACACAGGAACTCAGATCTCTGTGACCTTGTCCGCAACACGCCACACTAAATTGGTCATCAGCTTTTAAGACCGTATTTTATCATAGATATATATTTTTAGCGAAAGAAAAAGAGAAAAGGGAAGGAGGGGGGGAAACTGTGGGATGTTCTGGTCGTATATCATCCTGTCACAATTATGACGTTTGTTCATAAATACCAACCAATCTCCTCTCCACCTGGCTAAGTCACATGCACTTGTGCTTATGCAGGCGGCATACACCAACAAAGAAGTATGGACACACACCACGTGCCATGAACGCACATGTACGCTGCAAATAAAGAAACAGACACATCTGGCTGTGTGCCCTACCACAGGTCTGAGCATTGACCTCCACACACAGACTAAGAGACTGAATACACACTCGGGAAACATGCATTCAAACACTCAAATGAATGCACACAAACAAACAAATGCACGCGCACACACACACACACATCCACTTACTCACTGACATGCACACACACTGCAATTAATAGGGAGGCAGGTCTCTGGTGAGGAAGAGAAAGTGCCTGTTCAGCACATACAGTACAGGCAGAATATGCAATTTCCTCCAGTTAAGTCTGTATTAAATTGATTTCTTCTTTCCTTGAAACGGACTGGGTTTTTCCCCCCTAATGAAAGCTGGATAATCTACAGGTTTTACCTTTCCTGAAATCAAGTTACAAATCAAGCAATCGCAGGGGCAGATATGGGAAAGGTGAAGGAAGGACATGGGATGATTTTCCAGATGAGAAACATGGTGAATGAGGCTGATGCTCTTAACACGGACATCAGAGGCACCTCTCTCTCTCTCTATCTCACACACACACACACACACACACACACACACACACACACACACACACACACACACACACACACACACACACACACACACACACACACACACACACACACACACACACACACACACACACACACACACACACACACACACACACACACACACACACACACACACACACACACACACACACAGAGTAAAGGCTAGGCGTCGGTTAAGTACTTGCTGACATTTCTGTTCAGTGACGTACTAAGGCTATGGCAGGCCATGTTGGTAAACACCGCATTAATGAGAGTAATTAATGAAACACATTAATTAGTAAGCACTTCAATGAGTTAATCACTCACTCAGACCTGACAAGGACTCATGTAGAGGCTGCAGAGAAACACTGAGCATGCTGAGAAAAACACAAAGGAGGACAAAAAAAAAGGGGAAATATTTACAGGTAACGAGTCGAGCTAATATTACCACATAA